ACCTTAAAGATAAACCAATAGAGTTTACATTCTGAATTCGTCTCCTACACTTTGTTAATATTTGTATGCATTCTTCATCACTCCAATCATGTAAAACCCACTAATATGCATAATATATACAACAATATACATGAGGTTATGAAAATTAACAACAAAATTGAATATAAGAAATACTTCCTAGAAAAATAAATTAAAAATAAGTAGATTTTCTGACAAAATCCCTCAAAAATTAGCCTGTTAGAAACAATTACGATGCACTTTTATTTAAAAATCCGAGTTAAGAGACTTTTGGAAATGGTCTATTTACCTCCACGAGATATGAGTAAAGTATGTGTACACTTTGCCCTCCCTAGACTCTAGCTATGGGATTGGAGTGGGTTTGTTATTATTGTTGTTGTTTGTTGTTTCAATCAAAAATCTCTTTTAAGATTTTCGTCAGAAATTTGTGTAAGGTTAATAGAAATAGAGATAATTTCCCACCAATACAATCACTTCAACATATATACATGAAGTTATGCAAAAATACTATTTAACTAAACCGAATTTTGAAAATGTTTTTAACAGACAATTCATCGGGAATCCCTTAAACACTATTTTTTTTTAAAAATATCTTTTTTTATGAAATTCGTTTGAAATTGGCTCGTCAATAATGTTTCCGACATGCTTTATTGAAAATCCCTTAACGATGAGCTATTTTTTTATTTTTTAAGGGAGGTCCATTAGAAACTTGTAAAGAGAGATAATATAAAATATATCAATGGACAACTTTAGACCTACTCTCAAACATAAGGGATCATTCCATATTATTTTCTAGTACTTTTTCCTGTAGAAATTATTTTGTGAGATAATGGACAAATCACAAATGACTTTTCGTAGCATTAACGAAAGGTATAAATGGTCGTATTCATATAGTTCGGAGGCAATTTTGACCCTTTTCCATTTAAGAAATTAATTCCCATCATAATTAAAATGTCAAATATTTTAATTAAAACAAATTCAATCCATTAAAATGACTACTATTAATATCTATTTCCTCCGTCCCATATTAGATGGGAATTAACTTTCTATTTTAACCTGTAATTAAAAAATTATTAATAGATTGATCAACATTACTATTGTATTATTTATTTATATTAATTAGCCTCTTCAAAAAAAAAATCTGGATCTTCAAAATTTGTTTAAACTTCCAAAGGTCATATTAATTGTAGGGGTAAAATGGAAAAAAATAATTCATTCTATCCTGATTAATTAGTAAAAGATCAAGTAATATGAAACATATATTTTTAGCAAGATGTCCATCTAATATGAGACGGAAGTAGTAATTACCATGAGGAAGGCCGCATCAGCTTTGGGAACATAATTAAACATGTCATCTCCAACATGTACAACACCAATAGCATGAGGTGCAACAGAAGCAACATGAGGGAGATCAAAATTAATCCCATTAATCCAAGGAAAAGCCTCCACCAATAATCTAAGTGTTGTTCCATCACCACCACCAACATCAACTATCGTGTTCACCCCCTTGAATATCTCGGGGCAATCGTCAATAATCGCAGATATTGCTATTCTAGCGTCACACGCCATTGCATTGTTCAAGAGGTTACTGTGTTTAGGGTCAGCTTCCGCGTACTTCCAGACATCCTTTCCATGAGCAGCTTCAAAGGAGGACAGACTATTGTCCTTTGATGAAATACGTGCACTAAGATTGTGCCACGATGCCAACATCACAGGGCTGCTTTCAAATAGTAGGAAAGCAGCCATGCTATTCTCGCCTTCTTTAATGAGAAGGCGGGAAAGAGGCGTTTGAACATAGCCGCTTTTGCCGCTTTTGGTTGATGTCTCCTTGAATATTCCACGGTTGATCAAGAACCTATAAAATATGTACATATTATTAACATTATTATTTTTATAACAAATATCTACAATCATATCTCTTTATAACAATATTTCACAATAACTGTCAAGTTTTCCTTAGAACCGATGTTTCATCTTATGCTATACCATTTAATTTCTATAGCATCGTTTCACTATTAAAAAAAAAATCCAAACAAATGATGATATTATAAAGAGGTTTGAGTGTTGATACTTTTTTTTAGTCTGTCTTAACTAAAAATAATTCTTCATATCCTTATTTAAAAATAACTTAACTTTAAGCTTTTCATTAGTTCAATAATTTTTCCCTCCCGATGTTAATTAGTAGGATAAGACATTTTCTACCTAAGAGAACTTCATACTCAGGAATCGAGCATAAGATCTCTAGTTAAGAATGCATGAATATGAGTCTGTACTAACCTCTTCACTACAATCCTTCGTGGACTAGTCTCTTAATATAATGAGATGCTCAATTACAGTCACACAAATATTTTAAAAAATCAAATTTCTTGTATATATACCTAAACACTGTCACGTAAATTGAAACAGACAGAATAACAAATTACAAACTAATTAATCATACCTTAGGATACGATAGAGGGAAGAGGAACAACAACCAAGTGCAACAGAAAGTTGATTTAGGCTAATAGGTTCTTGATTTTTTTCCAAAAAATCAGCAATTCCTAACTCAATGGCACATTTAATCACAGCCAATTCTGTGAAACCAAACACAAATTTCCACATATTTGCTTGTGCTTCATGAGATTCTTGAATTTTTTCTTCATCATTTGTTCTTGCTTTTCCATTTGTTTGTTTCTCCATGGTGAAGAAAAGCTTAATTAATTAGTGTTTTTGTTGGTTCTTGGGAATACTTCAATGAACTTGTTAGGCTATTTAAAGCAATAAAATCAATCTTTAAATTATTAATATTTTAGTACAACATGTTGGATTGTTGTTATCACGGGCGTATCAAGGGGATTACACGTAAATCTATGTTCCTCTTCCGAGATCATATATATTAGTGTTATATTGAAAAATAACCGGTGAACATACATAAAGTATGATATAATGCAATCATTATTGGGCGCAGATGTCTTTCTAAGTGATGTTAGAAATTTGAATCTTACATTTATTTTGTTCTTTTAAAAAAAAATTGAGCGACACCTCTCTTCTAAGTGATTATTGGTAGCATTTTTGACGTTTTAAACTTCTTCTTTTTTTATTGCATCAATCTTTCAAAAAATTTCAAGTCTATCATATTGGAAATTTCTCAACTATTTTTAGTATTGTAATTTTTTACTATAATTAGCCAAATGTATGTATTAAAATTAGTAGTATTGGATGATATTATATACAGTCAATGCATTCAATCGATTTCAATACCTTCGATATCTTAGGGATTGTTTGGTCATGTAATATGAAATTATGATATGATATGAAATCATAATATGAAATCATGAGATGAAGTTAAAGTTTTGTTTGAACATGCGATTTAAATTTTTTGTATCGTATATCTTCTCATAAACATAATATTATATTCATTGTAACGAGATCCTAAATACGTACGCCTCTAATTGTTATTTGTTATATTTTATGGTATCATAACGTACGATTATTTTTGCTTTATAAATATAATGATTGTTTGGATTGTTATTGTATCATGCCTTTTTTATTTTTATACATATAATAATGTAAAATTTATTCTTCAAACTGCTAGTATGTGATGATGAAACAACACGAAAACCAATATAAGATTTATTGGGCGACACCTCTCTTCTAAGTGATTATTGGTAGCATTTTTGACGTTTTAAACTATTTTTTTTATTGCATCAATCTTTCAAAAAATTTCAAGTCTATCATATTGGAAATTTCTCAACTATTTTTAGTATTGTAATTTTTTACTATAATTAGCCAAATGTATGTATTAAAATTAGTAATATTGGATGATATTATATACAGTCAATGCATTCAATCGATTTCAATACCTTTGATATCTTAGGGCTTGTTTGGTCATGCAATATGAAATTATGATATGATATGAAATCATAATATGAAATCATGAGATGAAGTTAAAGTTTTGTTTGGACATGAGATTTAAACTTTTTGTATTGTATATCTTCTGATAAATATAATATTATATTCATTGTAACGAGATCCTAAAAGCGTACGCCTCTAATTGTTATTTGTTATATTATATGGTATAATAACGTACCATTATTTTTGCTTTATAAATATAATGATTCGTTTTGATTGTTATTGTATCATACATTTTTAATTTTTATACATATAATAATGTAAATTTTATTATCAACACGAAACCAATATAAGTTATATATATATCAAAATGATACAATACAATGTGTCATGAAGCAATACATAATACTCATCTTATAAACAAGTTGTGAGTTATTGGTAAAATTTAATTTTAGTTTTACTTTCGTGACCGATATTTGACTAAGCATATTTAATCTTTAATTACTTGAATCATGCATATTTGATTTACTTACATGGGAATATTCATGAATTTTAAGAATTATTAAATGTTTCACAATTTATTTAGTTTCAAAACATGTTATGTTAAACTTGTATGATTACTTCATGTTCGATAATAACATACTTCTAAAAATAAACCACCAATACCACATTTTGATAAATTGAAGATTAAATCTGCTTAACAAAATATTACGAGGATTAAAATAAAAATATACACCCACTACGTATTTTTTGCATTACTTTAATATATATTTTTTTCAGAATAGTACCCCTCTGCCGAAAGAAAAATAAAATAATGTTAAATTGATATGTCAATTTAGTTGTATAAGAATTCATATTAAAATTGGTTCTACAAGTTTAAGATTTTTTAAATAATTAAGATTAATAATGTAACTACTCCATTATATTTAATCCAGTACTATATAATACGTGGAAGGTTTATCATTTAAGTTATCAAAAAATTAAGATCTTCTGGAGTCTTGATAACATCATTAGAGATTTTTATTTTCATAAAAAGACTATTAATTATTTGTGTACGTGTACGAGATAAATTTAGCTTTAGTATAATAGTTTGCGAAGTAAATTATATTAGACAAATTTATTACGACCAATTCGATCGAAAAAGTAGGTAGAGAAGTTCAAATTTAGATCGTTGCTCACTAAGGTATCTTCTCTTCGGTCTCATTTAAATAAAATACTCACTTCATTTATATTAATTGTCCACATTACTATATATAGTAAATATAAATTACTTGTTAATTTATAAAATAAAGATAGAATTAATTATTTTTTCTTGTTTGCACTTACAATTAATTTCTTTTAAAAAAAGTATAATTTTTTTTCTAAATTTCAAATGAATAAAATTTCATTTTGAGATATCATCCCCCATTTCAGATTTTTCATCAGGAAAAATATTCACTGGCTCCACAGGAACAAAACGTGTAACACGACAATATTTTCAGCTAATGAATTTACATTTATTTGTCAAATAAAAAAAGTATATATAAAGGAAAGTTCATCATTATTTTATTTTTATATTTAAAATAAATATATTAATAGAATTGTTTTATAAAGAGAAAAATGATATGGGAGAGAAGTGTGATACTTAAATTACAAAAGGAAGGTAGTGTTATGAATACGAAGTTAAACCTCAAGAAAGATCTCTAAAATTGATAATATAACATTGTTAATGTATTTGATTGTAAAATAATATTGACAAGCCCCTTTTTTTGTTAAATCGACAGAGGATCAAAATTATCCTTTTGATATTCAACGAGGAACTCTTTTGCCCTCAATTGAAAATTAAGAATTTAATTGGATTTAATTAGGGGTTTGATTGATCGTGAACCATAAGATTGGATCGAAATTAAGAGGAACTAATGATGTGTTAGTCCATTTACTATTGGACGAGGAACATTATGTCCTCCATTGATAATTAAGAGTTCAATTGAATTTAATTTGACATTTGAATCGGCTACAAACTATAATATTTAATTAGAATTAAAAAGAAACTAATGATGGATTAGTCCATTAAGTGCATAAATACCCACTTTTATCGCGATGATAACTTAAAATTATCATTTTATACTAAAGGGCAAATGATAAAATATAATTATAAATTTAAAAATGTCTTTACCAAGAAAATGAAAAAGAATGAATAAGACGTGAAGATGGAGTTTCACGTTTTATGCTATATAAAGTATTTTAAGAATTAGAAAAAGACGTTGAAAAAACATAGAATAGTAAAATAAAATAGTTATAAGCAAGTTGTTGTTTTTAGTTAAGGCGGAATGACTTGTAAGACCCTTATACTTGGCTCAGATTGTCAACTACACCCTTCTACTCATGACTTCGTCAATTGAACATTTAAACTCAATGAAACATAATAATTTAAACCCTACAGTTGACCAATCCTATGTGGCAACTTAATAGTCGAGGTGGAACAAACGTGTGATCTCACGCGTTAAAAGAAGCGTAAACAGGAAAATTTGAGACTCAAACTAATTTTTTTTTAAAAAAAGACAAATATCCTTTTCCCCATTTTCTTTTCTTTCCTGCCCAACACCGCTATCGTTCTTCCCCCACGGCCACCTAGTCCCCATTTTTCTGTCTTGCTCCCTGTCCCCATTTTTATAATCTTTAATATATGTTTGCGAAAAGTATTCCAGAAATCCTTTTTTAGAAGTAGTTATTTCGATTTTTGTGAGATAAAAATATATAAAGAGAAGCTATTGGGAGAATGGGGAGGGGTAATTTACATGCGGCTAGTTGATAGAGATCTGATTATTTTGGAGAGTGAAGAATGATTATTGTATGTCTTTGTAAAATTAAGTAGAACATGTATATATATATTAGAACATATTAAGATATTTTAGTGTAGTTCATTGGCATTAATGGAGGAAACAAATTCACAATGGTTCAAGTGGTGGATGAAGACCTTGGTAAAAAAAAATAATGGTGAAAAATTATGAGCGATGAAAACTTGGAGAACAACGATAATTTTAGTTATTTTAGGTAGTGATAACCAGTAAGGAATAAGGATATAAGATGGCCATGGTGTCTTTGGTGGAAAAATGGAGAGAGATGGTCTAGGATAAAGTTAGTGTGAGGAAGAAACGGAGTGAAAAAGAAAAAAATGAAAATTTTAAAGAAGTATAAAATAAGTGAAAAGAAAAAATTAAATTTCTTAAATAAAGTAAAAATAAGTGACGTGTCACTAAAAGTCTGATGTGGATCATGATATGTCATTTTCATTGTGTTTGAAGTGCACGCGAAGTCAAAAGGGTTTAAAGATTGTGTTTCATTGAGTTTAAGTGTTCAGTTGGCAAAATCGTGAGTAGAAGGGTCCAGTTGACAATTCAAGTCAAGTATAAGGGTCTCCTAGGTTATTCCGCCTTTAGTTAATTTGATTTATAACCACATAACTTATAAATATTTTGAATATTTATTAAATATATTGACCAACTTATAAGCTTAATCAAATCAATCTATCGATACGAATTAATTTATCTGGGCAAATTATGCATGTAAATAATTATATATATCCTTGTCTTGTAGTTGTTGTATGTAATTTCTGTCATTAATCATAAATATATGTTAGGTACACCACATTTTTCAAAATGACCCTCTGGCTCAACATGTTTCTTGAAGGGTGTGTTGATATAGATTTTTTTTAATGGTTAAAAAAATTGAATATTTTTTGTAAAAATAAAAAATCTTTTAAAACGGAAAAAAGTAACTTTATCAGCGAAAATATGTAAATAATTGTACAAATGATGTTTCTTTTTTACTTTTGGGAAAGCCCATTATTTCTACTTTAAAAAAGTATTTTTTTTCTTTGGTCGTGAATGTATTTTTTTTTTCTTTGCTTTTTGTATATTAAA